GGTGGGCTCTTCCCGGTTCGCTCGACGTTACTAAGGGAATCCTTGTTAGTTTCTTTTCCTCCGCTTATTGATATGCTTAAACTCAGTGGATAGCCCCGCTTGACCTGAGGTCTCGTTGAGGGTGTCATGACGACACGCGTGGATCACGGAGCCCGATCACGGTAGGGAGGCGCGCGCACGGTTGGTCTCGAGGTACACTCATCCACCAATTAACCGTGGCGCGCTCCACCACGGACTCGATTTTCAACTAACCGCAAGGCAGTGCTCACGAGAAGCCAACATTCGCCCCGCTCGATGCCTGTGAAATGGCATTGGCGTTGGGGCAACGATGTGTGACACCCAGGTAGGCGTGCCCTCAGCCTAATGGCTTCGGGCGCAACTTGCGTTCAAAGACTCTATGGTTCACGGGATTCTGCAATTCACACCAAGTATCGCATTTCGCTACGTTCTTCATCGATGCAAGAGCCGAGATATCCGTTGCTGAGAGTCATTTTATATTTCCATGCGTCGCGACGCCCCCGCAAGAGCACCGTCTCCGGGTCCGCTGGAGCGCGCTTAACAAATTCGAGTTCCTTGGCGCATTCCGCGCCGGGGATTGTGTTTAGCTGGGATGGCACCCGCACGGGGCGAGCGCCTCTCGGCACAAGGGAGGCCTGAGGTGCCGAGCACCCCCGGGCGAACGTGCAACGGAAGTGATAGACAAACAGAGCTGTATATTGCATTTGGGATGGTAATACAAACAGAGCTGAAGTATTGAATACTAATGACATAGAGAATCGGAAGTGATAGACAATATCGGACCTTACAAACATGGCGGATGTTGTTCCAGATTTGATGATCAATAGTAAATCTAAAAGGCAAGGATAGTTTTGTAAAATAACTCAACATTTCCAATAATATTTACCATCAACCAAACACAAACTTAGTAAACTTAACCAAATAATCCCGGTAATATTTTTGCATACCAAACAACTTTTTGATAACATTCTCGGATAATTCATTTTTTCATCATATTCCTGGAAATCATGATTTTCAGACACCAAAAAATTTCTCTCTACCAAACGCCCCTAAGATTTTTTTGTTGTCTTTTGGAACCATTTTTTATTATTTGTTTTTGAAAAAGGATCGACAGTCCTATCGAGTCTGCCACGTTAATAAAAAACCAAAATTCTTTGGAAGGGACATGAAGTTTTCTCATTATTGGGACACATCAGATTAGGTTTAGACTAATAATTATCCTAAGAGAGATGCGAGGATAAATTTACACCAGAATAAAAAATATTTACACTTAATCTTAATTATTAATTTTATGCATCTAACAGTTATAATTTATTGAATTATATCAATTAATTAATTATTAATCTTTAATAAATTGCAGTCGTCATACGTATTAAAGATCAATGATTAAGATTAGATGTAAAGTTTTTATTATTATATTGGTATAAGTTAATCATCTCCCTAATAGTATCTCTATCATTAAATTAAAAATGGAGAGGGGAACCACGGGGATTGCTAAATTTGTATGATTAAATTAAAAATTAAATTATTAATCATTTATTTGTATTTTAATTTTTGATTATTAATTTTAACAATCAGTGATCGATAAATATAAATTGTAATAATTAGTTTATAATTATTAATTTTAGAAATTAATTATTAATAATTACTTCGAAACAATTCCCAAGCCTTGCGCATTATGAGAAAATTTCCCCCTCTTTGACCTAATTTGGTGAATGAGCATATAAAATTGTATGAAGAAATTAGGCTAAGGATAGATCCAATTACAAATTCACTGATGAGTTACTTTCTTAATCTTAGGAACAATAAAATTTGCCACACAGTCACAGACTGATAGAACAACTCATTTCACTCAAGAAATCAAACATAAGAAAACTCCCAAAAATAAAAATAATAATAATAATAATAATAATAATAATGATGATGAATACGTGCGATGATTCTTATTGGCATTGCTCTTGAATCCTTGCCATGGATTTCTTCCTCATTCTAGCCGCATCCTTCCCCAATAGCTGCTTTTAGCCGGCAATGGCTTTCTTTTTCTCTATGGTTTTTTTCTTTTTATTTATAAATTAAGTTTCGAAGTCGTGTTTCCTAACTTATTTGGTCTTCGAAGCACTAAATTAAGCCTCTAACTCTTTAAATAAATACTATTTCCCCAAAACAAGTTAATCTAAATACACGCATCATATTTAAGAATTCAAATCAAATATATAAAGAATAGAAAAACTAATTTATTCAAAATCTAAATGAATAAAATAAAATAATATAAAAATTCCAATAAATTAGACCCAAAATGTGTATAATTAATTTTAGGGATGAAATTTTCAACATGACCCGCTAACATCACACAAACATGACATGACAAATTCGCATTCAGATCAATCCATTTTTAAATTTATATTGTGTTGCATGTCAACTCGCAAACACAATACTAAATCGCATAAATATTATTTAAAGTTATTTATATCGTATTGTATCACCTCAACACGACATTGGTTAAAATAACATTTAGTACACATGTTATTCGTGTTATATCATGTTGTGTTGACTCGCGTAATAAGCCACACACTTTGAGATTAACGGGTTATTCATGTCATGTCATGTTGACCGGTAAAATAAGTTGATCATGTTCGCCTCGAAGAATTTTGACACAAATCTTTATTTGTGTCATGTAGAGTGTATTTGTGTTCAAATCGAACCTCAACCTAATACAGATACCACCCGATAACACGAATTGCCACCCCTAATTAATTTCAACTCATCTTGTCTTATATCATTGATTCATAAAATTCATCTTAAAATTAGACAGACAACAAAATGCCGAGTTATGTGTCGTAGTAATTATACCATGCTCCTAGGAGTTTCTTAAAGGCGAAACGTTTTTTTTTTTTTCTTTTTTAAATAATAATTTGAACAGCAAAACATGGCATATAATTGACTAATTAAGTCAGTTGCTCAAATCTTATTTTAGTTGGATTCAACCAGGTTCATATTCGAGATTTAATCATTTTCTGCCAAAACAATTTTAACCATCCAATACTCAAGTATTAAAATTGTTCAGAAAAATGCAATTATTAACGTTGAGATTTTTATTAGTTGTAATTTACAAAAATATATTTTGAAAGAACAAACAACAATAAATGAATCTATAATCTCTTAAATGCCCATCTCACGTAAGCTCTTGTGGGTGGAGATGAAGTAACATAGCAACTCAGTAAGTTTCACACAAGAAGAATTTAATGGAGTACACAACAAGCCTCATTTTGCTTGGGTACCAAGACGAAACTAACTTGGCATGTGAGAGTGACCTAAGCCTCGAGAGAAAGAGGAGAAACAATATGGGTGCCACATTCATGTCAAAATCAATGTTTCTAACTTGGATTGCCTAATGCCACAAAGGAAAATGAGGTCAAATATAGCAGCTACTACCCTTACAAGCCCACGACACACACACAGAGGATGGGCTTGAAAATTACACGAAACATGGGTTTGTGTCTTTGATCACCTTGTATTGTGGCATATGGGTATGTTTCATGTGTTAAGAAAGCTGTGATGTGAGCCACGTACCTATGTCCTCTAAGTTGTTCAATAATATACAAACAACTTTACTTCCTTTAGACATGCCGGCCGTCACATTGAAAATCAGTGAAGGACATATACGTCACAACACTTGTGAGGATCATTAGTAAGGTTAGTATTAAAGTGCCTACCTAGCTATATATTTTTTTATTTAGATGTCATCATTGTCTGCTTTAATTATAGCTACCTGCATACTAATTTTTTGAAACATAACTGAAGTGTACGCAAATAGATGACATGTATACAGAAGTGGCAAAGTGGACGTCCCGTCTTGTCCCGCCCTATTTGTCATTAATCTGTTAAAAAACGAGCTAGTCTGTCCCGTCTCGTTTTTTAAAGTGAGCTGAAAAAAAACTCAGTTCGCCCCGTCCTGTTTGGCAGGTTGGGCAAGTAGGTCCTGTGGTTCGTCAACCTGAGCTTATTTTATACTAACTCGCCTTTACCCACTAGTAATTCGTCAAAAAATAAATTCACCCTTGCCCCATCTCACTTTTGAGATGGGTTGAAAAATTTAGCTCACTTTATCCCATTTAACGGGTGAGACGGATTGGCCCACCAACCTGAGTTTATTTTGTCGACGGTACATGTATGTGACATTGAAGTTAAGACAAAGCAGCGAAGAAATTTGGGTTAATTCTCGGACACATTAACTTAATATTGTACCAAATACCAAAGTTTGTTGACATCATACCAAATAGTAGAGAATCATGACTTGTAGAAATATGGACTCTCTTGCTCTAACGGTACCAATGTCCTAGTAACATTTCCTCATCTGCACATACGTACGTATTCCGTAAATCTTACAAGAATATTAAGATTTAATTGAATATCTTGATATCCCTGCATGGATATAGCAGGAAAAAAAAAATTTATTTTTTTGACAAGTTTTAAATTTATTTTATATTACTATTTTGGCCGCCGCATTGTATGGTTTTCTTAATATTCCTTTTTTTAGCAATTAATTAATAATTTCAAAACACCATCTTACTTGTCTGCCTTTAAGCACTCACTAATATCTAACTCACAGAACCTTGCGTGACTGATAAGAAGTGAGGAAGAGCTAACTAGGCCTTTAGAAGCTCCACAAGCTAGTCACTTAGTTTTAAAAAAAGGGCTCTAACTCTAAACAAAAAATAAAATGTGTACAAGTTGTATATTTAGCAATGAAGGCTATGTAATAATTACCTAAGATTAATCTAACAAGATTAACCTATATGTGAAACTATAAAATTACCCCACTTGGAAAACAAAAAGCTGAAAAGAGTTGTGTCTGTGTGGTCCCATTTCGAGATTCACAGAGGAGAAAGCCGCAACAAAAGACAATTATATAAATCTGTGCTACCTCTTTCATCGATGATCACTTCACTTTCTCATTCTCAAAGACGCTTCACAAACAAGTTTGAAGCAACATTCATAATGGCTAGACCCCAACAACGCTATCGAGGTGTCCGCCAGAGGCACTGGGGCTCTTGGGTTTCTGAAATTCGCCACCCTCTTTTGTAATATTCACCTTTTCTTTTCACATCTTCCTAAATAAGCAAAAAAAAAAAAATTATTTTTTTATTTAATTTATCAATATGAACTTAAGTTCTTTGTTAAGAGAATTTTTTTATGTTTTCCTTTTTCCGTGTTTATTTGAAGTAAACTACTACACTTGTGTGAACCTCTTGTTGAGTTTCTTGTGTTGATGAAACATTGTTGTTTGGTTTTCAGGAAGACAAGAATATGGCTAGGAACGTTTGAAACGGCAGAAGATGCAGCAAAAGCGTACGATGAAGCAGCGCGACTCATGTGTGGTCCAAAAACACGTACAAATTTCCCATACAATCCCAATGAGTCACAGTCATCTTCATCGAAGCTCCTCTCTGCAACTTTGACTGCCAAGCTACACAAGTGTCACATGGCTTCACTTTCCCTTCAAATGACCAAGCAGAAATCACCACAGGAAGTTCCTCAAGGGGCACATGGATCCAACCCATTTGCCTCAGGCAATGCCATTGCTGAAACAAGCTCAAACACGGGCTTTAGATGGCCAGAGGAGAGACACGACGAACTGCAGTGGCTAGAAGAGAGTTGGGTTGGCGAGGAAGGCCAATTAGTTGAAGTCACAGAACAACAATTTCAGCCAGTTCTTGAAGATGATCATATAGAACAGATGATTCAGGAACTGCTTGATTATGGGTCAATTGAGCTTTGTTCTGTTGCCTCAGATTAAGTCCCTAAAATGTAGCACTCTCCATTGGCCAAGGCAGACCTCTTTTTGGGAAAAATCTTCGGTGCAGCTGATGCATTGAAGTTCGGCAATCAGTAGTTCATTTATTCTAGGATACGTAAGTGGATTCTGCGCAAATTTCTAGAATCTCAAGATCCACCTACATATTCTAGGATAAATAAACTATTGATGTACTGAACTTTAATACATCTGTTGCATTGAAGTTTTGTTCCTCTTTTTGAGACGAGGGATGGTACTATTCACTAATGCACCATGTAATAAAAGATAGTGAGATTTAGTGCTACAGGAGAGAGTTCACCATTGAGTTTTAATCACTTCACCAATTAGTGGACAAGCATGTTGTACCAGAATGTACTAATATGATGGACTGTAATATATCACTATTCATTAGTAACATCAAAAGACTACAAATTTCCTGCTTCTATTTTTATTTCTATCTAGTGCTCAAAATTCTTCAGAAATGATAATGGTTCCTCGTTTTTAATTTTTTTTTTTTTGTTTTATAACCATTATTATATACAGAAACTCTGGATTATGTGGCAAGAAAGACACAACATGAGAAAGTATAGAAAGAAAATGGAGCTAAGCATATTAGTAGTCAAATTCATCCAACATTTGCTAACCAAACAATAACCATTACACTGTGAAGGTAAAGACTAATCATTCACAAAGGTTTAGCACATTGTTGTCATAAAGCCACCATTTTGGCAGTAGCAGGCGCTGGAATCAACAACAGTAACAAGCACCACGAGCCCTGATGAGAATAGAATGATGGAAACAGAGCAAACAACATTTTGGAAAAAAAATGATCAAACTCTGTCCGAACTCCGAACATAAAGTCAATCCCTTGTTGTGTTTCCAAGGAATGTCCACAAATACTGCCAAATATGACAAAGGATACCAATTTGAAGAGATCGGGATGAAGTATTATTTCTTTAACAACAAACATTCCTATTGTTTTCACACTTGCTTTTTCTAGTTGATGACATACCGGACGACCTTTTTCTTTTCTCTTTTGATGTATTCTTCCATTCTCGATCCTTTGTTTTCTGTAAAAGCAGAACTTTTGACCCACATACTTATCTTTGTTCACTAATCACAAGACAATACATCCATTCACAATCCACATACACAACTCCTTTTCATTTTTTTCAGATTTTATGAAGCGCCGGATGATAATATCTTTGTCATTTTCCTTTTTAATATTAAAAATGCTTTATAGATATATTATAATTTTACGGGGTTTGCATTTGTCATTTAACATCACACAATAAACTTTCCTACACACACAATATTTTGTGGGGCCCACACTTTTTGAAGAAAAAAGAAAAAATGAAAATTATGGCACGCAAAACGAATCTCTATAACATTACACAATCACATTTCCTACAACATAACTCTTACAAAACCCTAATTTTATTTCACTGTTTGTGTCTAAATTCACACACACACACACAAAAAAAAAACACACGTTTTGGCATCATCAAATTGTGAATTGAGCTATGCTGACTGTTGCGGTCCTGTCAATCCCAATAATAATAATAATAATTAACTTTAAAATATTTTATTCTGGTTACAAGACAATAATACCTATTATTATAAAAAACTAATTTAAATCAAAAGTTTCATGTGATGTTTAAATGATGAGTGTATGTTAGACTATTATTATTACCTATTCACTTTAAGTGAACTTAATCATGAAGTGGTCTTGCGAAAATCCTTAAGGGGGTGTTTGGTTGAGGATAAATTTTTATGAATAATAGGGAAATGTGATTACTAGGGAAATGGTTGGAATGTGAGTTTGGTAGGAAAATGTGAAAAAAGTTGAGTTAAAATGACAGTTAAGTGGTAAAAATGCGGGTAAATAAAGTTATCCAAAAAGTGAAAGTAAATATAGAAAAGTGACTAGAAAAATATTCTAGTCTTTTGGGTGAAGTTTGGTAATAAATGGAGGTGCATAGATAGATAAGCTTATACCCACTAGTAAAATAAACTCACTTAAGTGAGTAGTGAGCCACTGTTTCCCCATTCTTCTTCGTCGTCGGACAGAGAGCAAAATGAGAGAAATAGAGGTTTTGAATAAAAACCTTCCAAAATTCGTAGAGAGAGCTAGAGACCTCCAAATCACTCCGTTCCAAAGCCAAACTTGTGAGAAATTTCGAGAGGAATCCATTGGTACCAGTATTTCTGGGTGGGTTTCACTGTAGAGAGAGATCTTCATCATCTAAGATTTCGAATTTCATGGATAATGGTGATTTTGATGGAGCTTGAGGCCATGGGAGCTTAGATACTCATCTCTCCTTTGTTTTAGAGTGCATTGTGGTAAGAAATTTCCTTCCTTTTCATGTTTTTATGAAGATTGAATTTATGGTTTCATTTTGAAAATTTGGTTTGATTGAGCATGTTAGAGCTTGATTCAAGTTTAGCTCATGTTGAGAAAAGTGTTTAGATGAGAATTTTAACGGTGAAAATGTATCTGAAAAATTAAAGATACCATATTTTTGAATAGTGTTGTATACGTGAATAGTGACGTATACATGAATAGTATTGTAGAGATGAACGGTACCGTAGTACCGTATATATATGAATTAATGAATCTTGGATTAGAGGTGTGTGATAAGCTTGAATTTGATGGACTAAAGCATTGGAATCATGAAGTTGGCATGAATTCCTTTGCGTGCCTCTTAGCCATTTACAAAGGAAGTATGTGCTATGAGTTACTGTTTTACAAATCGAGCATACTTTTATGCGTGGAATAATATTCTAAGGTGTATGGACCTTCGCTTTGGTGAAATAAAAAAGAAAATAAGGTAGCTCCTTTGTATGACCTTAAAATGAGTTTTAGCCATTTTCAAAGGAGGTATATGTTCGGAGATATTATTTCGCAAAGTGAGAACACTTATATGCGTAAAATAATTTATATAGGTGGCTAAGCTTGGGTTTAGGCACTAGGCAAAGAGAAATCTTATAGCTCCATTGTAATGGGCATTCTGCCTTAAGTTGGGACTATCCTAAGACTAAGTGAATGTTTGAAATTTTGTGGGGATTTATTGAACAAAGAACCACCCACTCATGACTTAATATGATTTAAGTAAAAAGAAAATAAACAATAAAGTGTGTGTCTTGTATATTTACATGGCATTATATCATTTTATTGAGTTTTGTGTTGAATTCCTTCTCTAGGTGTACCTACTGTGAACGTTTGGATTCTCGTGGAGCATGATAAGTAGCTTGCTCTTCAAGTAAGCAAACTGTAAAGCTCCAAGAGGTAAGCTCTATGTTTATGGGGTTCGCTCCTACTTTGTGTTCCGCCATAGTGTACGGACTGTGGTCAGGTTGTATGATATGTATGAGATATATGATATAGATGCATTCATATAGAGCTATATGATAATATGATATGTTTTGTTTTGATGTATTTGCTTTGATATGTGTTAATATGATATGTTTTGTTATGATATGACTTCTGTAATATGATTTCTGTAACAATATCTGGCCATTGATTGTATAGTACCCGGATGTTCGCTTTGGGGTCCTCCCTCGGGACTGATGGTGTACGCCTCTGATATGTTCTGGTTCCGCTTTGGGGTCCTCCCTCGGGAACACGTGCGTTGATTTCCGCTTGGGGTTCTCCCTTGGGAATGACTGCGTACGCCTCTGATATGTTCTGGTTCCGCTTTGGGGTCCTCCCTCGGGAACACGTGCGTTGATTTCCGCTTGGGGTCCTCCCTTGGGAATGACTGCGTACGCCTCTGATATTTTCTGGTTCCGCTTTGGGGTCCTCCCTCGGGAACACGTGCGTTGATTTCCGCTTGGGGTCCTCCCTTGGGAATGACTGCGTACGCCTCTGATATTTTCTGGTTCCGCTTTGGGGTCCTCCCTCGGGAACACGTGCGTTGATTTCCGCTTGGGGTCCTCCCTTGGGAACACGTGCGTTGATTTCCGCTTGGGGTCCTCCCTTGGGAATATCTGCGTACGTTTCTGATAAGATATGTGTATATGTTTTGTTTAGTTATGATATTTGATTATATGACATGTTTTATGGGATATGTATGATGATTTTGTAAATGATATTTGTTACGTACGTTGATTTCCGCTTGGGGTCATCCCTTGGGAACGATTGCGTACATCTTTGATATAACACGTTTTGTTCTGATGTGAGTATTGTGATGATTTTTGTAAAAGATATTTGTTACGTGTGTTGATTTTCGCTTGGGGTCATCCCTTGGGAATGACTGCGTTTGTCTTTGATAAGATATGTATATATGCTTTGTTCAGTTATGATAATTGCTTATATGATGTTTTGTATATTATGTATCTGACTGTCATACAGGAAGTGAGCCCAGGGTATGGAGGGTTTTCCATAAACCTGGAGTTTACTAGAGATTCGTCTCTAACCCCGTTTGGGGATATGATTTCAGGAACACAGTTAATTGAAGAGCCTCATGGGACAAGGACACTAACCGTGGCTAGAGGTACTAGTATGAGGATGTGGAGTTCTGGGTGGTCGGATGCTACTATTTGTTTTAGACGTATTTTTGGAAAAGATGTATTGTTGCATAGTGTTCATATTTGATACATGTACATTTATGTATTCAGGCATGATGATATGACTATGTAATATTTAGTTATGTTATGTATTGGATTGCATGCTATTAGATTTGTGGCACGGAGCCAAGTTCAGCATGCACCCATAGATGGGTATCTGAGTATATTTGCATGACTGGTACTTCTGGAAATATATATTGTTTAAACTGTCTATCAGGAACTCTTGAGTGTGGGATTGGAAAATCCCCAGTTGTCCGATTTACAGAGGTTACTCTGTCCGATTTTCGTCTCCGTAAAATAAGAATTAAATTAGAAGAAGTATGCAATGTGATATGTCATGTGAAAAAGGATTAAAGAAAAAGCAAAAGTTAGTTCGTATTTTCGTAAGTTAAGTCTTCCGCTGTTTCTGTTTGTATCATATGTATGTTAATTGAACCGGCTCGAGACGGGGATGTTACATTTATGGTATCAGAGCAGTTGCTCTAGGGAGTTACATGATATATAGCTTAAGATATTTGAAGTTGGAAGTTCTTGAGTGTTTTCTTGGAGTGCTGTATAATGCATGTGTGATCACTGAGTGTGAGCGTAGCTAACTCATTCCTTAGTGTAATATATGCAGAGATATGGTTCCTCCAAGGAGAACTCGTAGAACATTTAATAATCATGATCCACCACCGGATCATGTTGTAGCGATTTTGGTTGCACTACAGCAGACTTGGACTGCAACTAGGCAGAAAGAGCTTGAATTAATAATGAAGCATTCAATTTGACTGTGATAAGGATGAAATTTCGAATTTTCGTCAGAGAAGGAAATTGAATTTACAATCGACTTGTTACCTGGCGTGGGGCCTATCTCTCTTGCCCCATACCGGATGTCACCTCTGGAATTATCTGAATTGAAGAAGCAGATAGAAGACTTGTCTAGTAAGAATTTTATCAGACGGAGTGTATCTCCGTGGAGAGTCCCGGTGATCTTTGTTAAGAAGAAGGACGAGTCTATAAGATTGCGTACAGATTACCGGCAGTTGAACAAGGTTACTGTCAAGAATAAGTATCCTTTGCCGCGTATAGACGATTTGTTGGATCAATTGTGTGGTGCGACTATATTTTCTAAGATTGATCTTCGGTCTGGGTAACATCAGATCCGGGTAAAGCCAGATGACGTTCCGAAGACAGCTTTTAGGTCCCGTTATGGGCACTATGAGTATCTGGTTATTCCTTTTGGGTTTACAAATGCACCAGCCGTTTTCATGGGTTATATAAATCGGATCTTTAAAGCCTATTTGGATCAGTTTGTGGTGGTCTTTATAGATGACATACTGATATATTCAAAGAGTAAAGAAGAGCATTCTGAGCATCTAAAGGTTGTTTTGCAGATTCTGAGAGAGCATCAGTTGTATGCTAAACCGTCAAAATGTGAATTCGGGCTTTCTGAGATACAATTTCTGGGCCATGTCATTTCATCTGAAGGAGTGACAATGGACCCGAGTAAGATTGAAGCAGTGTTAGATTGGGAGCGACCTAAAAATATTACAGAAATCGGGAGTTTTCTTGGTTTGACTGGGTATTACAGGCGTTTTATTGAGGGATTCTCACGGATGGTACTACCTTTGACACGGTTAACCCGTAAGGGGAACCCATTTGTGTAGACCCAAGAATGTGAAGTGAGTTTTCAGGAGTAAAAAGGAAGTTGACTACAGCTCCGGTATTGATATTGCCGGATCCTACCAGTAAATTTGTGGTGTATTGTGATGCTTCTAAGTTTGGGTTAGGCTGTGTTTTAATGCAGTTTCGTCAGGTGGTTGCTTATGCTTCTCGGCAGTAAAAGCCGCATGAGGAGAACTATCCGACACACGATCTTGAGTTGGCAGCCGTAGTGTTCGCATTGAGAATCTGGCGACACTTTCTATACGGGGGCCGATTTCATTGTCTACAATGACCACAAAAGTTTGAAGTATCTGTTTGATCAGAAAGAGCTGAATATGAGGCAACGCCGATGGGTAGAATTCCTGAAGGATTATGATTTTGAATTGCAATATCACCCCGATAAGGCTAATGTAGTAGCAGATGCTTTAAGCAGAAAGGCGCTTGGTATGGCCAATTTGATGATTTCTGAGTATAATTTGATTGAGAAATTCAGGGATCTCTGCATTCCTGTGAATATCGAGGATAGTCTGCATTTATTGACTACTACGGTAGTCCAGAACTCATTAGTTGAGCGGATCAAAGAAGCTCAATTGCTTGATGAAGAGATTCAGTCCATGAAAGAACAGGACTTTGTGTCCACTGATAGGTTCGGTCTTAAATTTTACAAAGATCGGATCATTGTTCCGAAGGGTCAAATAGTGGATGAGGTGTTAACTGAGGTCCGTATAGGTAAGTACATTATCCATCCTATTGCTACCAAGATGTATCAGGCCATGAAACCAAATTTCTGGTGGTCTGGTATGAAGAAAGATATTGTTCAGTTTATGAATAAGTGTTTGATATGTTATATATGTGCATTCATTCACATTCATATAAATATTATATGATTTTTGATGTAATGATGATATATGTTATGAGAATCCTGGTCAGTGACCTTGGTATGTTGACTGCCTATGGCTTTGACCCTGGGAGTTATTTTCATACTACAGTTTGTGTTGATTGCCTATGGCTTGACCCTGAGAGTCACACTAGACATGTGAGACATGTCAGTTAGCTATTCTTGGGGAGAGCCCTTGAATAGTTAACCAGAGTATTAGTTATGATGTGATGTTTTGCATTTAGCATGTATCAAGGATATTCCTTGTGTAATTCATAGAGTGCAGTTTCCCTGGTCATTAAAATTTGTAAATTGTATTATCAGTGTAAGGGTTGATGTACAATAAATTGTAAATTATATTATCAGTAGAATTTGTAAATTGTATTATCAGTGTAAGGACTGGTGTACAATGAAATTGTAAATTGTATTATCAGTGCAAGGACTGATGTACAATAAATTGTAAATTATATTATCAGTAGAAAGACTGATACATTGATGTTTCAGTGGAATTATATTTTCAGTAAGAAGATGGATGTAATAAGTAAGTCCATTATATGCTAAACAAGTCATGTTTAGACCAAAAATGATAAGTTTAGAAATTTTACGATTTTGCGTGCATACAGTGCACAGTTTGTAATTCACAGGGCACTTCGTTAAAAACAGTGCAGAAACCTAACTGTGAATTGATATTACTGTTCCTTAGGGAATAAAAGTGAACTTAAATGAGCTCAGAGAAATAAAATGACGAATATAAGTTTGAGAATGAGAAGTCCTCTGGATTGCTGCAGCCCTTGAATATTCCGGAATCGAAATGGGTCAGTATTTCTATGGATTTTGTAGTAGCATTGCCGAGAACTCATGCTGGTTTTGATTTTATATGAGTTGTGATAGACAGATTGATTAAGTCTGCACATTTCATTCCAGTCAAGATGAGTTCTCTACTGAGCAGTTGGCTCGATTATATGTAAAAGAGATTGTGAAACATAAACCCTTTGAATTTTATGAAGGGAATCATGTGTTTATTAGTTTGTCTCCGACTACAGGTTTAGGCGTGCTCTAGGTGTGAGGAAGTTAAGTCCTAGGTTCATAAGGCCCCACCAGATAATAAAGAGGGTCGGACCTGTGGCGTATCAGCTTGCCTTACCTCCACATTTGTCTAATTTCCATGATGTTTTTTTCGCATCAGTCAACTTTGTAGATATGTATCTGATGTGTCCCACATTGTCCAGCAGGACAATAATGAGGTAAAGTAAGATTTGAAGTTTGTTGTGGGACCACTGAAAGTTCTGGTTCGCGATGAGAAAGTATTAAGGAACATGGTTATTCTTATGGTTAAGATACAATGGGAAGTTTGACTTCTGAGGACGCTATTAGAGAGCGAGAGAATGATACTCTCCAGCATTATCCTGAGTTTGACGTCAGGTATATGTTATGTCTTAAGTTTGATTTTGTGGGCAAAATCCTTAAAAGGTGGGGTGAATATAATAACCATCACTAGTAGTTGTGGATTTAATTTTGAAGAATAATTAGAAGTAAAAGAAATAAAGTCACTTTTGGTGAAAGAGGAGTTAAAATGACAGTTAAGTGGTAAAAATGCGGGTAAATAAAGTTATCCAAAAAGTGAAAGTAAATATAGAAAAGTGACTAGAAAAATATTCTAGTCTTTTGGGTGAAGTTTGGTAATAAATGGAGGTGCATAGATAGATAAGCTTATACCCACTAGTAAAATAAACTCACTTAAGTGAGTAGTGAGCCACTGTTTCCCCATTCTTCTTCGTCGTCGGACAGAGAGCAAAATGAGAGAAATGGAGGTTTTGAATAAAAACCTTCCAAAATTCGTAGAGAGAGCTAGAGACCTCCAAATCACTCCGTTCCAAAGCCAAACTTGTGAGAAATTTCGAGAGGAATCCATTGGTACCAGTATTTCTGGGTGGGTTTCACTGTAGAGAGAGATCTTCATCATCTAAGATTTCGAATTTCATGGATAATGGTGATTTTGATGGAGCTTGAGGCCATGGGAGCTTAGATACTCATCTCTCCTTTGTTTTAGAGTGCATTGTGGTAAGAAATTCCCTTCCTTTTCATGTTTTTATGAAGATTGAATTTATGGTTTCATTTTGAAAATTTGGTTTGATTGAGCATGTTAGAGCTTGATTCAAGTTTAGCTCATGTTGAGAAAAGTGTTTAGATGAGAATTTTAACGGTGAAAATGTATCTGAAAAATTAAAGATACCATATTTTTGAATAGTGTTGTATACGTGAATAGTGACGTATACATGAATAGTATTGTAGAGATGAACGGTACCGTAGTACCGTATATATATGAATTAATGAATCTTGGATTAGAGGTGTGTGATAAGCTTGAATTTGATGGACTAAAGCATTGGAATCATGAAGTTGGCATGAATTCCTTTACGTGCCTCTTAGCCATTTACAAAGGAAGTATGTGCTATGAGTTACTGTTTTACAAATCGAGCATACTTTTATGCGTGGAATAATATTCTAAGGTGTATGGACCTTCGCTTTGGTGAAATAAAAAAGAAAATAAGGTAGCTCCTTTGTATGACCTTAAAATGAGTTTTAGCCATTTTCAAAGGAGGTATATGTTCGGAGATATTATTTCGCAAAGTGAGAACACTTATATGCGTAAAATAATTTATATAGGTGGCTAAGCTTGGGTTTAGGCACTAGGCAAAGAGAAATCTTATAGCTCCATTGTAATGGGCATTCTGCCTTAAGTTGGGACTATCCTAAGACTAAGTGAATGTTTGAAATTTTGTGGGGATTTATTGAACAAAGAACCACCCACTCATGACTTAATATGATTTAAGTAAAAAGAAAATAAACAATAAAGTGTGTGTCTTGTATATTTACATGGCATTATATCATTTTATTGAGTTTTGTGTTGAATTCCTTCTCTAGGTGTACCTACTGTGAACGTTTGGATTCTCGTGGAGCATGATAAGTAGCTTGCTCTTCAAGTAAGCAAACTGTAAAGCTCCAAGAGGTAAGCTCTATGTTTATGGGGTTCGCTCCTACTTTGTGTTCCGCCATAGTGTACGGACTGTGGTCAGGTTGTATGATATGTATGAGATATATGATATAGATGCATTCATATAGAGCTATATGATAATATGATATGTTTTGTTTTGATGTATTTGCTTTGATATGTGTTAATATGATATGTTTTGTTATGATATGACTTCTGTAATATGATTTCTGTAACAATATCTGGCCATTGATTGTATAGTACCCGGATGTTCGCTTTGGGGTCCTCCCTCGGGACTGATGGTGTACGCCTCTGATATGTTCTGGTTCCGCTTTGGGGTCCTCCCTCGGGAACACGTGCGTTGATTTCCGCTTGGGGTTCTCCCTTGGGAATGACTGCGTACGCCTCTGATATGTTCTGGTTCCGCTTTGGGGTCCTCCCTCGGGAACACGTGCGTTGATTTCCGCTTGGGGTCCTCCCTTGGGAATGACTGCGTACGCCTCTGATATTTTCTGGTTCCGCTTTGGGGTCCTCCCTCGGGAACACGTGCGTTGATTTCCGCTTGGGGTCCTCCCTTGGGAATGACTGCGTACGCCTCTGATATGTTCTGGTTCCGCTTTGGGGTCCTCCCTCGGGAACACGTGCGTTGATTTCCGCTTGGGGTCCTCCCTTGGGAACACGTGCGTTGATTTCCGCTTGGGGTCCTCCCTTGGGAATATCTGCGTACGTTTCTGATAAGATATGTGTATATGTTTTGTTTAGTTATGATATTTGATTATATGACATGTTTTATGGGATATGTATGATGATTTTGTAAATGATATTTGTTACGTACGTTGATTTCCGCTTGGGGTCATCCCTTGGGAACGATTGCGTACATCTTTGATATAACACGTTTTGTTCTGATGTGAGTATTGTGATGATTTTTGTAAAAGATATTTGTTACGTGTGTTGATTTTCGCTTGGGGTCATCCCTTGGGAATGACTGTGTTTGTCTTTGATAAGATATGTATATATGCTTTGTTCAGTTATGATAATTGCTTATATGATGTTTTGTATATTATGTATCTGACTGTCATACAGGAAGTGAGCCCAGGGTATGGAGGGTTTTCCATAAACCTGGAGTTTACTAGAGATTCGTCTCTAACCCCGTTTGGGGATATGATTTCAGGAACACAGTTAATTGAAGAGCCTCATGGGACAAGGACACTAACCGTGGCTAGAGGTACTAGTATGAGGATGTGGAGTTCTGGGTGGTCGGATGCTACTATTTGTTTTAGACGTATTTTTGGAAAAGATGTATTGTTGCATAGTGTTCATACTCGATACATGTACATTTATGTATTCAGGCATGATGATATGACTATGTAATATTTAGTTATGTTATGTATTGGATTGCATGCTATTAGATTTGTGGCACGGAGCCAAGTTCAGCATGCGCCCATAGATGGGTATCTGAGTATATTTGCATGACTGGTACTTCTGGAAATATATATTGTTTAAACTGTCTATCAGGAACTCTTGAGTGTGGGATTGGAAAATCCCCAGTTGTCCGATTTACAGAGGTTACTCTGTCCGATTTTCGTCTCCGTAAAATAAGAATTAAATTAGAAGAAGTATGCAATGTGATATGTCATGTGAAAAAGGATTAAAGAAAAAGCAAAAGTTAGTTCGTATTTTCGTAAGTTAAGTCTTCCGCTGTTTCTGTTTGTATCATATGTATGTTAATTGAACCGGCTCGAGACGGGGATGTTACAAAAAGAGTTGTTGCATTCTGAAACTCAATCCCCCGGCAGAGGCTTGGTAGTTTGACAAGTACTGCAATTTCCAGATTTGGAAGCTCAATTTCCTGATCACCTTGTTTACATTTAAATACTTCCTCTAGCTCATATGCTTCTTTTATTATCACACTCTCTAGCTTGGGAAACTCTTTAGATGTGGAGACAGGGAAGACACATTTCAATTTGTTGCATTTATTTACCACAAGTACTGCTAGCTTTGGGAAGCATGTCTTTCGAGAGGGACAATTTGAAATTTTCTCATTCTCCATATCCTCTTCAATGATCTGCTTTAATTCTTTGCATTCTGTTATCATTAGATTCTGCAATTGTGGTAGGCATCTTGAAATAGAAGCAGAAAAGATTACTTCCAATTTTTCACATCGCACAATTGCTAATTCTTCAAGGTTTTGGAGGGTACAAGAACTTTTGGGACCAACTAAAATACACATCATCTGAGATAGATCACCCAACTGAAGTTTTTGTAACTGTAAGTGCGTTTGTAGTTCACTTATTTCTTTGGAGTTGTATACCTTGGGATTTTCAAAAGTAAGAAAATATCGCACGTTCCCACTCAAGTCCTAAAAACAAATAAAGACGAAATAATCAAATAAATAAAATTAGCATTCTATTCATAATGGGAAAAGTGTGTGTTCTTTAAAAGGACACACACTTATATCCTTTAAGAGAGATAGAGGAACAAGCTATGAAGGAGAGAGAGTGGAGGAAAAAGTTTAAAATTTAAAATTTTAAAAAAGCACTACATTCATCTAAAAGGATGGTTCTTTTAAATGATAGATATTTTCCCCATTCATAATTTCAAAAACAACATCTAGAAATGAAATATATTAGCAATAAGTGTGATAACAATATTTTTATATTATAATTTGAAACACTTTTCCTTTTTATTCGAAACACTTGTTTTTTTTTTTTGGTGTAGTATATTTTTCAGAATTAATTATGCATACACCTTTTTCATATCCTTTGATATTTTTCTTTTAATTTATATTTTTAAAATTTTATCCTAATTTAAAAATATTTACGCATTACATGAGATACTTACTAATTATGTTACAATGATATTACCAAAAATTATCTGATCAATGAATGAAGTTAAATAAGGTCCTATGCATTTCTTTTAATTAAAAACTATGGAAGAGAAGTATAAATCATGGCTTTAAGAATCATAGTTTAGCTATTAAGAAATTACAACTTTCATTTGAAAAGAAATACATTGTCATAAAAATAAAAAAAATAAAAACTTGAAAATGAACTAACGTTAACCTAGAATCAAATTGTAAGGCTTCTTTGATATCTTGAAATCTTTTCAGTTACACATGAAAGAAGGATAGAGTATGTATACTTCCAAGTAACAGCGTGAATCATTTATATAAATATTACACCTATCGTTTAAAACTTTGAAAATAATAAATATTTAATTAGCAATAAAAAATTTGGATAATTTTGACTCTAAAAGTATTCATGTTTTAAAATGTGTTGGGCCAAATTACTAAGTGTATGAGTCTGGATTAACTTTTAAGACTACTCTAGTGGTTTAAAAATTTGAAACAACGATTTAAATAACAGTTCAACCACATAAAAATCAGTTTAACTGATCAAAAATAAGTTCTCTTGGATCCCACATTAACCTAGCATGTTTAGAAAAATTAATTCTCTTCTGTATTATCTAAGATTCAATCTCAAATAGCTAAGGTATAAGAAACATTCTGAATTGCTTGATGACTTTTTCCATTCCAAAATTTGCCAAATTTGCCAAAATATCTGTGAGACACAGACTTGCTTTAAATATGGTTATTGGAAAAATTGTCAAAAAGGAAATCCTATTGCTTACAACAATACATTAACTGCACATCAGAACATTAAAATATTTAATTTAATAAGAACTCATTTTAGTATATGGTTTTGCTTGCCACAACTTAATATGTAATTATATCCTTATTTCTAAAAAATGCTTTTAATTTTAAAAATTAGTGAAATGAATTTTGTTTTACTTTTTTTTGTTAAATTAACCATCATGCATCGATCCCTTAATGTTATCTCAATTTGTGATTTTTTTTAAATTATATGGAAGCTAAGAAATTCTCCCAACTATCACGTTACTATGAGTTTCATATTCTTAATTATTCCTCACAACCGATCTTTTTATATGTTTTTTAAAATTCTTACTTTAACATCAGTGTCTAATTATGTGGTTGGTTCGATGATCCCACATTCATTTTCCCCATTTTCCTAGATATTTAATTAGGTCTTTTCTAAATTTTTATTTTTAAAATCGATGTTTAACATAGTAATCACAATTGACCAATATAATCTTACTTTAAAATTTATTTATCGTTTTATCTTATTTTGAAATCTATATACCAAGAGTTTATTTTTTCTAAAGTTACTTTAGATAACTTTATCTAATGTTTACCAAAACGACGTCATTTTGGAGCGGAAATCATGGTGTTTTTGTAATTTTAATTTATTTCAGGGTTATAATAGTCTTTATCATTCTAATTTTTAATTTTTCAACCATAAAACAACGTCGTTTTAATGAACATTAGACAAAATTGTCTAAAGTAACATTAGATACTTTTTTCTCATATATCAATCTATAATGACCCTAACTGGTAAATCTTAGTTAGAGATTTAATTTAAGGATTTAAATGCCATAATTAGATTCAGTGAGCGATTTCGAGTATTTTTGACTGTAATCATGACTATGTTATGAACAGTGCGTTCTGCCGAAGAATTTACAGTTTTGTGAATTAACGGGTAGAGCTTAAATGAGCAAAATAATTTTAGGAACATAATTTGATAATTCTGACGACAAATATGAGTTCAGAACAAAAAATTGTATAGTCTGGCACTTTCCGTGAAAATCTCGTGAATAGTGTTTTTACCGGGTATTTTGTACTGCTGTTTAAGCAACCGGTAGAGCCCAGAAACAAATAATTGATGAAATAAGAATAAGAAAGTCCAATATATGCCAAGCAAGTCAATATAGGCCCAAGAAAATGATAAGTTTATAAGTTTAAGTTTCATAAGTAAATGAAGTACAATTAGTGATTCACAGTGCATTTCGTCAAAAACGGTGCAAAAATCATACTGTGAATTATGAATATTGTTTTGTAAGAATTAAAAATAAATATAAATGATTTTAGAAAAATAAAAATATGTTTGTAGCATTGAGTTAGTTCCGGGTCAGTTTAAGTGAAAATACGCGAAAGAAAAACATCTGTTAAAAAGTCACATGTGGTTATAAAGCTTTGTCATTCAAGTGAATCACTATTCACACAACTAAAACTCCTTTCTCTCTCTTGCAAGCCGTGGAGTTCATCATGGAAGGGGGGGGGTTTAGGGCTTTATTTCTTTTCTTGATTTCTTCTTGAATATGCCACCAAATCCAATGACCCACCACATGAAATTGATTGGAAACCACTCAATGAATCCATTCCTCCTATCCATTTGAGCTATAGTTGAGTGTGTGAAGAGTTATTCCTCCTCTCATTTTCGAGTTACTATTCATTGGAGGAGAAAAAGTGAGTTTTTGATGGAGCTTGGCTTGGAGGTTGCTTTCTAGGCTTTGGGAAGTTGATTAGTGGTAAGAAACCTTTGTTTCCATGATGTTATTTTGATGGTTTGTGTCATAGAAATTGTGAGCATATGTTGGTGTGAAATAAATTAGTTTAAAATTTGAATTGATGATGGATTGATGATGTGTTGGATATAGGAATGTGGAATAAGCATATGAACATGTATAAAAAATTGGAAAAAAAATCCCATGGTGACATACCCTAGATTTCGGCCTTGATAGGGTAATTAGGGATGATGCACAAAGATTTATTGTATGTATTGGGAAGGTTTAATGTGCTTGAATAAGAGGAAATTTGATGAGTTAGTGAGAATGTTAAATTTGAAAGAAAATCCTTTGAAACATACCCTTGATGTTTCGTCCTTGAAGGATTTAAAGAGCTTGAGATTCCCAAAAATTAAATTGGAACTTGGTATATATATATATATATTTATGTACGTGTAGTTGTTAAATTAAGTGAGGAAAATGTATTGTAAAAGAGAATGATCCTTGGAAATTCCCTTAAAGGATTCGACATATAGGGTGTTTAGGGAAAGATGTTGTCATATTTTATTTTAATAAAATATGTGTGTTTCAAAGTATGAAAATGATAAGGCATGAAGTGAAATGGTTTGAAAAGAAATCATGGAAAAATATATTGATTTCCTAATTTTAGGCTCACGGTCCTTTAAAGTAAAATGTTATGATTTATGTTGGAAATTCGTAAGGGAATGGATGATTAAATTAAAGAACACCAACGGTTATAAAGAGGTCTAGACTTGTGTATTGGCATAGGATTGGCAAAAATGCAAAGAAATGAAAAGAAGCGATAAAATGTGTGCCTTATGTGAAAGCTAGGCATGATGGCATTTTATTAATTGGTATTTGTGGATTCTTGCTCTAGGTGTACCTAGGGACTAAAAAGGAATCAGAATCTCTTGAAGATATATAAGTAACTTGTGCAACAAGTAAGGGTATTGGTAAAGCTTCAAGAGGTAAGCTCTATGTTTAAGGAGTCTTTTCCTGCTTGAGTGCTCCACCATGGTTAGTGAACTATGGTTGGACTGTATGACTGTGATTTAGATGCTTTGTATAGATGCATTCATATAGAGTTATTTGATAACATGATATGTTTTGCTCTGATATGACTTCTGTAATATGATTTCTGTAACAATCTCTGGCCATTGATTGTATAGTACCCGGACGTCCGCTTTGGGGTCCTCCCTCGGGAACACGTGCGTTGATTTCCGCTTGGGGTCCTCCCTTGGGAATGACGGCGCACATCTCTGATATGATATGGATATATGCTCTGTTCTGTTATGATATCTGTTATATGTTGTATTTGTATACTCTGTATCTGAATTTCATGCAGGAGTGAGCCAGGGGTATGGAGAATTCTCTATAAACCTGGAGCTTATTGAGATTTGTAATCTCACCCCTCTTTGGGGACACATTTTCAGGGGCCCAGATTTCCGGTGAGTCCTCACTAGGCAGGGACACGACACGTGGCTGAGGCAGTTGACAGACCGGATTTTGAGTGGCTGTAGGCTACTACCTTTTTGGAGTGTTTGATGTATTTTAGTATTTTCGCATTTGATGGATCATGATATTGATCCTTTATTTTGTATATGGCCTGTATATGTTTTGTACATGTCTATCAGTTTGATGCATGTACATTTGAGTATTCAGGAACGTTATATGATGATGTAGTATTCAGATAGGTTTATGTTTTGATGGCATGCTGTTAGATTTAGTGGCACGGAGCCATGTTATGCATGCGCCCATGTATGGGTATTTGATTATATTTGGATATCTGGTATTTCTGAATTGATATGTTGTATAAACTGCTTATCAGGAAATGCTTCTGAGTGGGATTGGAAAATCCCCAGTTGTCCGATTTATAGAGGAAACTCTGCCCGATTTTCGTTTACGCCGAGTAAGAATTAAGCTAGAAAAAGAAAAAGTAGCTCATATTTTTGTAAGTTAAGTCTTCCGCTGTTTCTGTTTGTATCATATGTATGTTAATTGAACCGGCTCGAGACGGGGATGTTACACAATCCATCCTATTTTCAAAAAAGTTGACAACTTTTCCTTATACATGATACGTGTTAGCTATATGATGATGACATATGTCAAATTTATGGGACTAACATAATAAAAAAAGGCCATTCTTCTTTACTTTTGTCAAAATAAGATGAATTGATAAATATTATTTTAGAGAAGCATATATTGGTAAATAATTTTCAAAAGAAGTCCCAAAAATTGTAATATGTTATTCTATGATTAAGATTGAAATACTACAAACAACAAAGATATATGGAAAGAGGGGTGGGTACCTTGATGGTTGTGGTACCTAATTCTCTTGAATCATGAACGGACAATTCACCAATAGATTTAATGCTAAACTGGTAGCATTCACTGAGTGTAAACTCCGTCAAAAGTGGGAAGGTTATGCGATAGTTTTCAGAGCAAATGCCGATTAAGTTTGGCAGCTTGTGAAATTCGAGATATTTTAATGCTGGAAGAAGAATCTGAATCTCATTGTGATTTTGAAGTTGAATCTCAAATATATACTCCAATTGCCCACATTCCTTCACCAAGAGCTTTTCCAATTTCGGAAACACGTCGCCCCAGTTATTGCCACCTCGGTCATCTTTGGTATCTATTATTACGTGCTTCAATTCATCACATTCCCTAATTATCAATGTTTCCAACATCATTGTTGGAGTAATAGACATGATAAATACGGATTCTATCTTGGAAACACGATAAAGTTGAATCTCTTTAATATTGTGCAGCATTTGTGATTGTTTTGAAAGACATTGAGTACTTTTCCCAAGATGATTCGATGCCTGTAATAAAATGCCACAAAAAAAAAAGTTTTAAATTAAAAAAACATAAAATTGACACAAATCCTGAAAACTAGCTTACATTAAATCCATAATATAATGCTAACGGTAATCTTCAAGGTTGGGATATGTTTATATGAAAAGGGCCTATAAATATAAGATACATGTTATTTATCAAAAAGAGAAAGTATCAGAAGATAACACAAGAAGGTTAGAAGGTTACCAATGGGATTTGAGCGCTTATGGTACTCCTCAATTTGTGTCTAGATTTATGAGTCCAAGGGAAAATATTGCATTTCATGGGATTCGATTGCATTTGTGACTTGGAAGATGACCTCTTTGTATACAAACACTCGGGATGATAACTTTCTGCAAAAGTGTCGATGAAATTTGGCAAGTGAGAGAGTTGCAGTTTGTAAAGTGAACCAAGTACGACATCCTTTACCTCTTCATTTTCATGTTGGTATTTGCCAAATATGTATTTAAGCTCACCACAATGCCCAATATCGATAGATTCTATTACAGGAACATCTCGAGCAGAAAGGCTCGAAAATATGAATTCCAATCGGGGACAATGTGCAATAAAAAGCATTTTCAAATTCGGAAACATTGCGGTGTAACTCTTTCTTCTGTTGTTATCATTATCAGCACCAACTATTTCTCCCAATTCCTCCCCTATTCTTTCACCTGCTATTATGTTTTCCAGTTGTTCACAGAAACTTATCTCCAATTCCTCCAACAGAACTAGGCTTTGAGATGTCGATAGTTGAAATAGGTTTACCAACTTCGGGCAATAAATCAGTTTGATGATTTTAAGATTGGAAAGGTTTAGCTTTCCCTTAAACAATATGCTTCGCAAAACATAACAACGTTTGATGAATAACGTCTCTAAACACTTGAGAAAGTCAGAGGGAAGGGGACCAATGCATAGTTCTTCCAAGTTTTCCATCTTTTCAAGTTCTAGTACAACCAACTTGGAGAAGACATTTTGTTCCAGAGAATTAATATGACTAGTGTCAATTAGACACTGTAATTCTGACCAAGATTCTAAACGAAGCTTCACAAGATAATTCATACCTTCATCTATCGGAACAATCTCAGGTATGAGATTTTTCCACTCCCCCATAATTCCTTCTAGCTTAAGAATCTCTGTTGTTTGTACCAGATACTTGAATGTTGCTTCAGAGAAATAACCATCAATGTATGAAGCACACACATATTTTGGCATTGAATCATTTGCTCCGTCAGTATACCTCTCTGTTATATGATACCTTTGCAATTCAGGCAATGTTATTTTCTTATCATTCGCTGAGCTGTAAACCTTGAATTGAATGAAATACAATTCTTCAAGTGATAAGTGTCTTTCAATCACTTCTAATGCATTATTCGTACCAGTAAGACACCTATACAAGTGTAGCAATCTAAGTCTCTCCAGCTCCGCAATTTCACGTGGCAATTCAACCACCACACAATCAACCAAATCAAGAGCCTCAAGGCTGTGTAGTTTTCCCAGAATAGAGATGTCACCTAATTTCAATCTTTCAAGGAATAGAGATCGAATATTCTTCAATGACTCGATTGACTGTGGCAATGAGAGACGCCATCCCCAAATCCCAGATGATAAATGCAAAACTCGAAGATTTGTCATATTTTCGAAGAATGAATTTGGCATTTCCATTGAGTTTCCTCCAACCACACAAACTTTTAGAATCTTAAGTTTGGAAGCATCAAACCTAAAGGAAAATAGATCCATGTCCTTGCCTTGGCATAACAAATATTTAATATTCTTCTGACTTTCAGCCGATAACTTTTCACGTTTGTTAGCCAAATTGACTGCTAGAATCTCTTTCTTAGCCATCGATAGGGCCACTTCACGAACCAAGTCATGCATTTTCACATGACCCTTCTCAGCCTTCAACAATAAACCAGAATCTATGAGTTCATTTTTGGCTTTAACTACTTGGCTTCGAGCACCATCATATTTTTCACCAACTTCCCCAAAAAGTATAATGACCCTAACTGGTAAATCTTAGTTAGAGATTTAATTTAAGGATTTAAATGCCATAATTAGATTCAGTGAGCGATTTCGAGTATTTTGACTGTAATCATGACTATGTTATGAACAGTGCGTTCTGCCGGAGAATTTACAGTTTTGTGAATTAACCGGTAGAGCTTAGAAAGAGCAAAATAATTTTAGAGACATAATTTGATAATTCTGACGACAAATATGAGTTCAGAACGAAAAATTGTATAGTCTGGCACTTTCCGTGAAAATCTCGTGAATAATGTTTCTACCGGGTATTTTGTACTGCTGTTTAAGCAACCGGTAGAGTCCAGAAATAAATAATTGATGAAATAAGAATAAGAAAGTCCAATATATGCCAAGCAAGTCAAAATAGGCCCAAGAAAATGATAAGTTTATAAGTTAAGTTCAGAAGTGAGCGAAGTACAATTAGTGATTCACAGTGCATTTCGTTAAAACAGTGCAAAAACCATACTGTGAATTATGAATATTGTTTAGTAACAAATTAAAATTAATGTAAATGATTTTAGAAAAATAAAAATATCTCCGTAGATATAAGTTAGTTCCGGGTCCGTTAAGTTAAAATACGCGATAGAAAAACATCCGATTGAGAAAGCCACATGTGCTTATAACTTAAGTTTCCTTCCAAAAGTTACTATTCACATCAGCTCACCTTCCCTCTCTCTCCTCAAGGCCGAGTCTCTCCTCCATGGAAGGCTAGGTTTTCAAGTTTTCTTTCTCCTTTGATTTCTCCCTCCACACTCAACCAAATCCTTAAGTCCATACACGAAATTCATAGGAAATCAACCAAGGAATCCATTCCACCGCTTTGTTTGGGCTAGTTTTGCTTGTAGAGAGAAATATTCCTCACCCCCAATTCGTGACACTATTCATCATTGTGGAAAAGTGGGGTTTTTGAGTGAGAAAAGCTTGGGTTTTGTTCCTTGGAGCTTGGGTTGGCAACTATAGGTAAGAAACCTCTAACCCTATGGTTATATTTTTGGTGATTTGAGTCTTGTTAATGATGAGCATATTTTGTTGGGAAATAATTGATGTTAGAATGTAAAATTTATGATGGATTATTGTTGTTTAGGAAGTTATAGTGTTGAGTAAGCATCCACATGTGATATAAAAATTTAAAAGCCCTATTGCATCTTCCTCCTAGGTTTCGGCCATCATGGAGTGAGTAGGAGTTATTGTGGAAAAAATTATATTATGTATTGTGAAGGTATAGTGTGTTGGAAATGAGTGAAAATGGATGAGTTAGTAAGAATGCCTAAGTAAAAAGGACTTGGTGTCTAAACTCAAAATAGGAATTTAGTGGAAGCATTCCTAGGTGTTTGCAAGTTGTAATGAAGTAACGAAAATGTATTGTAAAAGAGAAGGATCTTTGGAAATTCCCCTTGTAGGATTCGACCTATAGGGTATTTAGGGATATATTTTGTACATTTTATTTTAAATAAAATGTGTTGTAATAAATTGTATAAAGGTGATGAGTTTTGAAGAAAAATAGCATGATTTATGTTGAAAATTCCTAAGGGAATGGTTGATTAAATTAAAGAACACCAACGGTTATAAAGAGGTCTAGACTTGTGTATTGGCATAGGATTGGCAAAAATGCAAAGAAAGGAAAATAAGCGATAAAATGTATGCTTATGAAATAATTATGGTATTGCATCATTTTATTGATGCATTGTAAATTATTCTCTAGGTGTGCCTAGGGATTGAGAAGGATCGGAAATCTCTTGAAGCGATAAAAGTAACTTGTTCCACAAGTAAGCGTATTGGTAAAGCTTCAAGAGGTAAGCTCTATGTTTAAGGAGTCTTTTCCTGCTTGAGTGCTCCACCATGGTTAGTGAACTATGGTTGGACTGTATGACTGTGATTTAGATGCTTTGTATAGATGCATTCATATAGAGTTATTTGATAACATGATATGTTTTGCTCTGATATGACTTCTGTAATATGATTTCTGTAACAATCTCTGGCCATTGATTGTATAGTACCCGGATGTCCGCTTTGGGGTCCTCCCTCGGGACTGATGGTGTACGCCTCTGATATGTCTGGTTCCGCTTTGGGGTCCTCCCTCGGGAACACGTGCGTTGATTTCCGCTTGGGGTCCTCCCTTGGGAATGACGGCGCACATCTCTGATATGATATGGATATATGCTCTGTTCTGTTATGATATCTGTTATATGTTGTATTTGTATACTCTGTATCTGACTTTCATGCAGGAGTGAGCCAGGGGTATGGAGAATTCTCTATAAACCTGGAGCTTATTGAGATTTGTAATCTCACCCCTCTTTGGGGACATATTTTCAGGGGCCCAGATTCCCGGTGAGTCCTCACTAGGCAGGGACACGACACGTGGCTGAGGCAGTTGACAGATTGGATTTTGAGTGGCTGTAGGCTACTACCTTTTTGGAGTGTTTGATGTATTTTAGTATTTTCGCATTTGATGGATCGTGATATTGATCCTTTATTGTGTATATGGCCTGTATATGTTTTGTACATGTCTGTCGCTTTGATGCATGTACATTTGGGTATTCAGGCACGTTATATGATGAGGTAGTATTCAGATATGTTTACGTGTTGGATTGCATGCTGTTAGATATAGTGGCACTGAGCCAAGTTATGCATGCGCCCATGGATGGGCATTTGATTATATTTGTATAAACTGTTTATCAGGAAATGCTTCTGTGAGGGATTGGAAAATCCCCAGTTGTCCGATTTATAGAGGAAACTCTGCCCGATTTTCGTTTACGACGAATGAGAATTTAAAAAGAAAAAAAAAGTTAGCTCGTATTTTCAGAAGTTAAGTCTTCCGCTGTATTCTGTTTTATCATATGTATGTTAATTGAACCGGCTCGAGACGGGGATGTTACAAAAAGGCCCGCTCCTATGCCATATCTGGTTAAAATTTCAGTAGAAAGTTCTTCATCTTCTGGGAACATAGAACATAAGAGGAACATTCTCTTGGCTTTTTTATTCTTCATTCTATCATAGCTAAACCTCAAAGAATTATAAACTTTAACCAGATTCTTATGACTGTCATCATCATCATCATCAGCATCATCAGCATCATCATCACTCTGCCTGGGTATAGTCTTCTGCAAGGAATTTATGGCTTCATCCCACTCTTCCTCCCGTTTTTCGTCCTTTAAACTTTTAGCCAGAACTGAAATTGCAATTGGTAGTCCTTTGCATTCTAGGACAATTTTAAGTCCCTTATTCAGCAAACTTTGAGGGGTACTATCGCTTAAAACAGCATGCTTCATGAACAGGGTCCATGCATCTTCATTTGATAAGAGATCCAGATTAATTATACTTGTACTTCCCATTAATTTGCATACCCTTACCTTGCGTGTGGTTAGAAAAACTCTACAACCCTTGCGATCGTCCCTACCTGGAATCCCTATTTCTTCAAATTTGATATCTTCATGATCCCACACGTCATCCAATATTAGAAGATTTTTCTCACCATCGGTTAATCTCTTCCACAGTAATCCGCGTCGCTCTAATTCGCTCTTATCCTTCAATTCTAATCCCAAGGGTACAGCAATATCATCTTGAATCTTTCTAATGTCAGGAGTGTATGACACTGTAGTAAAGATTACTTGTTGAAATTCTTCCAATCTCTTCAGTTGCTTGCCCACTTCTTTTGCCAATGTAGTTTTACCGGTGCCGCCCATACCTTGCAATCCGGTTATATAGTTATTATCATCTCTCAGTGCATTCAAAAGTTCTTCGTATTTCAACTCTCTGCCCTTGAAAGAAATGTAATCTTCAGAAGAATAGTATTCCACGCCTGGAAGTTGAGGAGCGACTCCTTCAGTATCCAAGTTTTCTTGCAAGAGTTTTTTGATCTCCTCTGTCTTTTGGGACAATGCCTTTCCCTTACTATATCGCTGCCATATGCAATTAGGACACCATCTAAAAAACCACGCCTTTTCTGTTTCGGTTTCCTCTTGAATTGACTCACCAACTTCCTCTCGCCAATAAGTGGCATCAGCTAAAGGTTCACGTGCGTTTCTTTTCGCTGCATCAACACGTTGCCCCACAGCCTTTCGTTTTGCTTCCAACTTTCCTTTTTGCTTTTTAAAGTCTGCAACAATGCAAGAGAAGCAACATATATATCGTGATTCTGCTATTGCCTTATCGATCAATTTCTCCAAACCCTTCTTAGCCAAATCAGCCGGGATACTCTCCATCTAAATCAAGTTCAATAGGTAAAAGTTAGTAATAAATGATTATCACAGTTTCCTATAGAATTAAATCGTCAAATAAAAAAATTAAAATTAAAATTAAAAATAAAATCTCCACAACAATTGATGGTTAATAATAGTGATGCATTTTAATCTTCATGTCTTGTAGAGAAAGTTTGATAAATAATCATTTTAACTTTTAGACATTTTAAAATTTATTTTATGATATCTTGATATTTTGGTTGTGTGTGCTTTCAAAATTTAAATGTTTTATACCTGAAAAACAATATTGAGATGAGATGTTAAATATCTCGTATATACTGTTCGAAATATTAAGAGTCAATTATAATATTAAAAGAATTTTATTATAATTATAATACTAAGACTCTTGATATTATCCATTAAACGTTATATAACTCAATTAATTACTGATGTATTTAATCTCAATCAATGATTTGGTATATGATCGATGTACCAGATTATAAGTTATGAAATATATATATTAAGGATGGTCTTCTCTCGAACCCTATTGTCATTCTTTCCATAAGAATATATATCAAAGTAAAGAAGGCTTAGAGAGAGAAACTACCCCAACACAATTGCTCACAAAATGATGACTATTGTTAATCCTTCATCATCATTTTCAGGTATGTCTTTATCTCTTGTGTATGTGAAAATCATACACAAGATCATTTATCATATTCTTATTTTATGATTTATGAACATGATATATTATGCAAACTAACATATACTTGGTATGAAAATGAAAAGCATTATAAACAATTTTGAAGATAAGTTTGCACAGATAATTCTTTCATAAACTGTTCCCGTTACACTAACAATGCGTAAATATATAGTTTATATAAAACTTAAATGAAATGAGAACTATATTTAAAATTTTAGAGTTCTAAAAATAAAAGGTTTGAAACAAGGATAACGAGTTAACTTTTAAGGCACTAAAAGGAATGAAAAAATGGAGATCAAATTATACTAGCCGCTGTCATTAGAAGAGAGTTAACGGTAAAGGATATGACTAGTTTATCGGAAATAACATGTTCGAACATTTGTCTCAACAATAATAAATAAAAATATAGTACAACTATTATTCTAAGTTAGGGGAATTTACCAGCCGAAAATTTTCCAAGTTATCCCATATATACTTGCTTCAGATATCCTATCCTCTCAACTACTTTTCTTTTAGGTAAAACTTCATTTTCATCTAACGTGGTTTTGTGATTTATCATTTGACCCCCTGTGATTTTAAACTTATCAGTTAGACTCATTGTGCTGAGATATTTTGTCATTTAACCCCCTATAATTTCAAATTTTCACTTAGACCCCTTGTGATTACAAAAAATTTCACTTAGACACCTTGTGGTTTAAAAAATAAATATTTAAAATAAATTTTCTCTCTTTTTTATTTTATATCCTCATGTAATGAATGCATTTATGGTTTAAAAAATATTCAAGTTATTTAATCTGAAATTAATTTATAAGTTATCTTAATTTTTTTTAAATATATTTGAAATTAAAAAAATATTATTTAAGATAAATTAAATATGTATTATCAAAATAATGACAAAGTCAGTACCTTCAAGAAAATTTGAAGAATGTTGCATAGGTGTTGGGTTGACGAAGCTGACACATTGAAATTGGAAGGATAAGGTTTATTGGAGTGTTTTTCTCATTCAATGCTTTGGTAGTTGAGCATGCACGACATTATTGGTGCATGACTTAATGTCTAAACAGTCGCCCCAATAAATGCAAAAGCCCTATTAATGAGAAGACTCTAGTAGAAGATGAAGAGTTTTCCCATATACAAAATGAGATGAAATTTCATTGAACAAGTTTTAATAGTAAACCTCTATGAGAAAAGCTAGAGCATGTAACTTCTTTAAGAGAAGAACTGTGTATTCCATCCTTGTGAAGAATTTGTGTGTACCACTAGTGTTTACTAGAGAAGAACTCTTGTAATCTTGCTATTCTCATTGTAAAAGATTTTACTGGACTAGGTCTAACAAAAGGTTTACTAGATTAAGTCTTGTGGTTTTTACATATCTTTATTAAGAGAGATTTTTCACATTAAAAAGGATTGTGTGTTATCTCTTTTTCTCTCCATCTAAAAATTTTGGTCTTTTCGGTATTTTTTGTGTATTGGGCCGACATGCAAATGGCCTGACCTCCAAGTTTCGAATTCTTAACACTAACATTTTTTTCTCCTTTTGTTTTTCAAAATACTCTTGCACTTGTTTTTTTGAGTACGCGACTAATTCCTTTAGACACGCAGGGATAGGGCTTGGCTTTATTTTAATAGTTCAAATTGAGTATAAATATTAAAAAATGACATTGATTTTGTTCAACTTTTAGTCTCGTGGTTATTGCATCAATATAAGCATGTTGCATATATATTATAAGTAATATATATACTTGCTGAACTTTTTGGCCGCTGAACTCTAACTGTAGATCTAAGGTTTCAAACTATTAGGAGAAAATATTGGAAGAATCTGAAACAAACTTCATTCTCAAAAATCTGAATTAATGTGTACTGAGAGCATTGCTCTTATAACAGTAAAGGTGTACTAACAGAAAAGAGAGAAGATAACAAATTGAGGTATACGTGGCACATGAGCCAATAACTAATAACCTATACATCAGAAACTAATCAAAAGAAGAAAATAATAAAATTGTATATTCTAATACTCCCCCTCAAGATGGAGAGTGAATGTTGTGCACTCCCATCTTGGAAAGCAGGGAAGCAAACTGAGCAAGATGCAGTGCCTTGGTGAGGATATCAGCCAACTGATGTGCAGAGGCAATGGGGAAAGTTTGAAGACAACCTTGAACAATTTGTTGTCGAACCAAGTGGCAGTCAATTTCAATGTGTTTTGTTCTTTCATGAAACACAGGGTTTGCAGCTATGTGGAGGGCAGCATCATTATCACAAAATAGGTGAGCAGCAGCAGAATAAGGAATGTGAAAATCTTTAAGTAGAGAAAATAACCAAATAAGTTCACAAGTGACAGCAGCCATGGACTTATACTCAGATTCAGCTGAGGATTCGGATACAGTAGCTTGTTTCTTTGATTTCCAACTGATTAGTGAATTGCCCAAGAAAACACAAAAACCAGAAATAGATCTTCTAGTGTCAGGGCAAGAAGCCCAGTCTGAATCAGAAAAAGCATTTAATTGAATTTTTGAAGATGAAGAAAACAGTAATCCTTGACCTGGAGTGCCTTTCAAATAGGCCAACACCCTGTAAACAGTAACAAGATGGGGAGCTCTAGGTGCAGACATGAATTGACTGAGATGATTAACCGTGTAACAGATGTCCGGTCGAGTTACTGTTAGAAACAATAAACGGCCAATCAGTCTTCTGTATTGGGATGGATCAGAGAGAAGATCACCTGTAGTGGATGAAAGCTTGAGATTGGGCTCCATGGGTGTGGACTTTGGTTTGCAGCCAAGGTAACCAGCATTAAATAGAATTTGTAGAGTGTAATGGCGTTGACAAATGGATATGCCATCAGAGGACCTAGCCACTTCAATGCCAAGTAAGTATTTCAAAGAACCAAGATTCTTTAATTTGAATTTGCTGTCCAGGAAAGAAGTGAGATGATGGACCTGATCAGAATTGTTGGAGGCCACTAGTATGTCATCAACATACACTAAAACAGCAACAAAAACATCATTTGAATATTTGGTTAATAAGGAATGATCAGTTTGAGAGTGGGAAAAACCAAGAGATAAAAGGGTTGAAGAAAACTTAGCAAACCATTGGCGAGATGCTTGTTTCAAACCATACAGTGACTTACGAAGATTGCATACAACATTGGATGGGAGAGACTCCCTCTGTGTAAAATAAACGGGTGAGAGAGACATGTAAACTTCTTAATCAAGCTCTCCATGTAAAAATGCATTATTGACATCTAATTGAATTAGATGCCAATTGTGTATAACCGCAAGAGCAAAGAGGAGACGAACTTTTGTGCTTTTTGCAACATGGGAATAAGTTTCCATATAATCCAAACCTTCTAATTGAGTGAATCATTTGGCAACCAAACGAGCTTTATAACGCTAAGATATCCATCAGATTTGTACTTCATTCGATACACCCACTTGCAACCCACCGGATGTTTTCTGAAGGCAGAGAGACAATGGACCATGTCTGATTGTTTTTAAGAGCAGTGAGTTCTGCATTCATGGCATCACACCATTCGGATAATTGAGAGGCTTCGGCATACAATGAGGGTTCAAAATAGGAAGAAATATTATTAATAAGGGTAAGGTGTGAAGGTTTAATTTTAGAATATGATAAATGGGCTGAGATGGGATGTATGGTAGAGGTTGAACAAACGAAATCTGAAAGATGTGGTGGGGGCCTTTTGATGCGAGAAGGCCTTGTAGGAAGATGATCAGAGGCTTCAGTGGTAACATTATGAGGTACAGATTTGGATACAAGAGGTAAAGAATTCAAGGGAGTGGAGAAAGGAGTAGAGGAAACAAATGGAAAGATAAACTCATGAAAGACAACATCCCTAGAAATAACTAATCTATTGGTGGATAAGTCAAGAAGCTTGTAAGCTTTATATCCTGGGGGATATCACAGGAAGACAGCGGATGAAGAATGAGGAGAGAACTTGTGTATGTTACGAGAAAGAGTGGAATAAAAACATAAGCAACCAGAATTACGAAGATGAGTATAAGAGGTAGGTTTATGGGAAAGAATTTCAAAAGGAGTTTTATGATGAAGGAGTGGAGAAGGAATACGGTTAATCAGATAAACCGCAGGGAGAACACAATCAGTCCAGTATGCTAGAGGAATATAGGATTGGAAATGCAGGGCATGGGCAACGTTTAGAATGTGTTGATGTTTGCGCTCAACAACTGAGTTTTGTTGAGGCCTTTCAACATAGGAATGAAATACTTGAATGCCTTTAGAGGAATAAAAATCATTGAGATTAAACTCAGGGGCATTGTCACACTGAATTTTTTTTATAGGAGAAGAG